TTAACTCATACATGTCTCACTATCCCTCCCAAACGGGCAGATGCACAGGTTTCCGTATTTTTATTTAACTTTAAGTTGTAAAGAATTATACCACAAACTTTTCCTTGAAACGTCATACAATCCATCAGAGGTAATGTAGCTGCTTGCTGCTTGTGGTACATCATATGTGAGTGCTCTCTCATCATTGCTGACAATCGTCAATCTGGAGAGAGTTCGCAAGTACGTCCGTAGGATAAACACCTTCAAGCCCTGATGATGTCTAACTGATGTCTTTCTGATATCTTACTCTAAGCGGTTCAGACAGACGCTTTACTGATGCGTATAGATGGGTAATGCCTTGATTTTGCCTGAGCTGTATAAAGATGGACATTGTACAGATAATGCCTGAGTCCAAAGGTGGATAATGTCGTGGTTGTGTCTGATGTGTAATGGTTACTGCCAGACGATGTGTGACTGATGTCCAGAAGCTGTGTGACTGGTGTCCAGATTATGTGTGACTGATGTAGAGGAGGTGTGTGACTGATGTCCAGACGATGTGTGACTGATGTCCAGAAGGCGTGTGACTGATGTCCAGACGTGTGACTGATATCCAGATGGTATGTGACTGATGTCCGGACGATGTGTGACTGATGTCCAGAAGGTGTGTGACTAGTGTCCAGATTGCGTGATTGCTTTCTAGATGGTGCGTGACTGATGTCCAGATCGTGTGTGACTGATGTCCAGATCGTGTGTGACTGATGTCAAGATTGTGTGTGACTGGTGTCCAGTCAAAATGCCCCGAAAACACCAACCTAAAAGCCAACTAGAAAACTAAAATGAAACCACCTCACGACCAGTCTTTACACCAACACCAGCCATAACACCAAATTTAATGTCAAGTATACTATCATCCTCAACACCAACCCTAACACCAACCTAACCACGAACCTTTCACGCCAACCGTGACGCCAGTTAAGTAGGAAAGCTACAGACCTCCTCGCTTTCACTAATACAGGCCATATCAAATATTAAGCTTCCCATCACAATACAACTCTGAACACTAACGTGTGAGTCGGCAGATCCTCATAAGGAGATGTACATTAATGAATCTGGCAATCCACATTGACGCCTCGGAGCTAAAATGTAGTTGAAGTCTTCACCACAAATATTGATCCTGACGAACCACAAAAACTGCCTCGCTTATAATTAACGTTCTCACTGCTTCGTTCCCTACCACAGCATCGTCTACCACGGCCCTGGGAGCAGTTTTGTCATGGAATGGGATGTTATGTAATACACGGCCCATACGTGCCGCTCATCTTCTACTCATTCACTGTCTATGGAGGGGTGAGAAGGGATTAAGGACAAACACTGGGACTTGTACGCTTGAAATCATAGTTGCTGTACAACAGAATTCTTAAATTAGCTTTCGTGTTTGTTGTCTTTTGAAGACGTTTCTTCTTGAACGATGCTGCAGTGCAGACGCAGGCTGTGCTGCGAGTGAAGTCGTTTGCGTTGTGGCTCATAATTGGGTAAATATTGACGACGGGTAAACAGAAGATGCACCATCATTAGAGTCAAGTGTTCGTTTCTCGCATTAGGGGCGATGTTGTGGACTATCGGTTAATTGTGTTGGCTCGCTACATGGACGTTAGATAGCGTAGCGAACCACATTTGGGTATCTGCCGTCCTGGTATTGATGTTTGGCTGTGTGAACAGATGCTCTTGGACTCTCTTTCTCACTTACATATTCTCACACACATTAACACTTAACACTTTCGAAACACACACAATAACACTTACACATGTTCTCACATCCAAATTAACGCTTAGATTTTCGCACTCACTTATACTAACACCTAAACAATCTTACCAACTAACCAAGTTGCTACATGACTCATAGACTGTTGGACCACTGAGCAGTCACACTCATGACCTCACAGACTGTTGAACCACTCACCAGTCACACTCATGTCCTCACAGACTGTTGGACCACTCACCAGTCACACTCATGTCCTCACAGACTGTGGACCACTCACCAGTCACACTTCCATGTCACAGACTGTGGGACCACTCACCAGTCACACTCATGTCCTCACAGACTGTTGGACCACTCACCAGTCACACTCATGTCCTCACAGACTCTTGGACCACTCACCAGTCACACTCATGTCCTCACAGACTGTTGGACCACTCACCAGTCACACTCATGTCCTCACAGACTGTTGGACCACTCACCAGTCACACTCATGTCCTCACAGACTGTTGGACAGACTGTAGTCACCACATGTCCTCACAGACTGTGGGACCACTCACCAGTCACACTCATGTCCTCACAGACTGTGGGCCACTCGACCAGTCACACTCATGTCCTCACAGACTGTTGGACCACTCACCAGTTACACTCATGTCCTCACAGACTGTGGACCACTCACCAGTCACACTCATGTCCTCACAGACTGTTGGACCTCACCAGTCACACTCATGTCCTCACAGACTGTGGACCACTCACTCAGTCACACTCATGTCCTCACAGACTGTACACTCATTCTCATGTCCTCACAGACTGTTGGACCACTCACCAGTCACACTCATGTCCTCCACACATACTGTTGGACCACTCACCAGTCACGCTCATGTCTCCACATACTGTTGGACCACTCACCAGTTACACTCATTTCTTCACACACTGTTGGACCACTCACCAGTCACACCCATGCTGTGTTGGCCGACTTAACAGTTACAATCATGCCTTTGGTTAGAGAAAGCGGGAAGAAAGATCTGATTTTGATGAGATTGTGGTATTGGAGATGCTGAGCAAATTGCTTCACCTAAGACAATAACAATTAGAAATAATGTACATAAAAGGGATTTCAGTGAAATTCATATGGGGAATGATAGCCGATGCATATTGCTTTTGTTACAAAGATCACTTTTGAGAATCATGTGATAATGTTAGTCGCTGTGATTGTTGGGAATTTTTTGGAAGGTGTAACCCCGTGCGACTATTGCAAATGTTGTCATCTGTTTGTTGCTTATTGAAGGTGTAACTATGTGTGTGGTTTGCTTGTTAACCACCGTGTGACCACCAGGTTGTTGTTTGTTTTCCGAGTTGTTTGTTATCGGTGTGACCATGTGGTTGTTTTTTTATCATATGACCATGTGGTTGTTGTTTGTTATCGTGTGGCCTTGTGGTGGTTGTTTGTTATCGTGTGGCCTTGTGGTGGTTGTTTGTTATCGTGTGACCATGTGGTTGTTGCTTGGTATCGTGTGACCATGTGGTTGTTGCTTGTTATCGTGTGACCTATGTGGTTGTTGCTTGTTATCGTGTGACCATTTGGTGGTTGTTTGTTATCGTGTGACCATATTGTTGTTGCTTGTTATCGTGTTACCATGTGGTTGTTGCTTGTTATCGTGTTACCATATGGCTGTTGGACCACTCACCAGTCACACTCATGTCGTCACAGACTGTTGGACCACTCACCAGTCACACTCATGTCCTCACAGACTGTTGGACCACTCACCAGTCACACTCATGTCCTCACAGACTGTTGGACCACTCACCAGTCACACTCATGTCCTCACAGACTGTTGGACCACTCACCAGTCACACTCATGTCCTCACAGACTGTTGGACCACTCACCAGTCACACTCATGTCCTCACAGACTGTTGGACCACTCACCAGTCACACTCATGTCCTCACAGACTGTTGGACCACTCACCAGTCACACTCATGTCCTCACAGACTGTTGGACACAGACTGTTGGACCACTCACCAGTCACACTCATGTCCTCACAGACTGTTGGACCACTCACCAGTCACACTCATGTCCTCACAGACTGTTGGACCACTCACCAGTCACACTCATGTCCTCACAGACTGTTGGACCACTCACCAGTCACGCTCATGTCCTCACAGACTGTTGGACCACTCATCAGTCACACATTTATGTCCTCACAGACTGTTGGACCACTCACCAGTCACACCAATGTCGTCACAGACTGTTGGACCACTCATTCTCACGTTCTCACAGACTGTTGGACCACTCACCAGTCACACTCATGTCCTCACAGACTCTTGGACCACTCACCAGTCACACTCATGTCCTCACAGACTGTTGGACCACTCACCAGTCACGCTCATGTCCTCACAGACTGTTGGACCACTCACCAGTCACACTAATGTCTTCACATACCGTTGGACCACTCACCAGTCACTCCAATGTCGTCACAGACTGTTGGACCACTCATTCTCACGTTCTCACAGACTGTTGGACCACTCACCAGTCACACTCATGCTGTGTTGGCCGACTTAACAGTTACAGTCATGCCTTTGGTTAGAGGAAGCGAGAAGAAAGATCTGAGTTTGATGAGATTGTGGTATTGGAGTTGCTGAGCAAATTGCTGCACCTAAGACAATAACCCCGAAATCAGAAATAATGTACATAAAAGTGATTTCAGTGAAATTCATATGGGAAATGATAGCCGATGCATATTGCTTTTGTTACAAAGATCACTTTTGAGAATCATGTCATAATGTTAGTCGCTGTGATTGTTGGGAAGTGTTTGGAAGGTGTGATCACGTGCTACTATTGCAGATGTTGTCATCTGTTTGTTGCTTATTGAAGGTGTAACTACGTGTGTGGTTTGCTTGTTAACCACCGTGTGACCACCAGATTGTTGTTTGTTTCCCAATTGTTTGTTATCGGTGTGACCATGTGGTTGTTGTTTGTTATCGTATGACCATGTGGTTGTTGTTTGTTATCGTGTGACCATGTGGTTGTAGCTTGTTATCGTGTGACCATGTGGTTGTTGCTTGTTTTCGTGTGACCATGTGGTTGTTGCTTGTTATCGTGTGACCATGTTATCGTGTGACCGCTGATGTGACGTATTCTCTGCTTATTGAAGGTCTGAACGTGTGATTGCTCTTCGTTGTCGATGAGCCCACATGGCTGTTTCAGACGTGGCCATGTGTCTGTTGTTAATTGAAGGTGTGACCACGTGTGTTTGTTCTTGCAGGTGTGATGGACAAGGTGACAAAGGATACAATGAGCCTGCCTCGCTGTGGAAACAGAGACAAACATGTACTGAGTCAAGGTGCAAGAAGGAAGCGCTATACATTACAAGGTAAATTCTTTGACGTTCATAATCTTTTACGGTTTTAACATCCCAGCAGTTAATATCCCTAGATCTTCCAGTCCTTTCTCTATTTCAGAATCCTCAACGGTCAATGTCCTTTTCAGTAACATCCGTGGGAGCAACCTCCTCTATTGCTTAACGTCATTTTTCTCATTTACATATCACATATAACTTCGATCCATTTGCAGTTTTCACATCCTTTCCTTTTAATGCACCTTACAGTGAATGTATTTCACAGTTAACACCATTTCGGTTAATGTCACATTGTTTTAATATCGTTTTGTGTGACGTTAGATGGATTGGGTTTGATGCAAAATAGCAAAATACAAGGTGCTTGTTTATATTGGTGTGCAGGTGTCGTCCAGATCTGTGGGGCAGGGATAGGAATATACACAAGGCAGAATCTATAAAAACATTTCCAGATTTTTTACATTAAACCAACTGCATTAATGACGTGCTTTTATGCTGTGTCGGCATAATTGGGCGGAAGTGACGTTGCGAGGAGTGTGCGTTGCCTGAAGCGCTTCCTTCTCACATCGATCGCCTGGTGAAGCAAAGGGACGATGGGAGGAACTGCCTTCCAAAGTTACCGTTAATGAGATAAGTTCCTTTGAAAACACATTTAACTCTTGTTCATAAAACAAGTCTGTTGGCCTCATGTGTGATATTCGTTTACAATTTCGGCTTTGCGTCGTGTTTTGGTGAAACATGGAGACCTCGTGTTTACCTTTGTATCACGTCTCGGTGTATAATATCTCATCGCATTGTTATACAGTGCACTGATTTTACGTCATATTGCTTCGAGTAACCAATTGCCTCTTATCCTCGCTTTTCCCGAATGTGTCTGTTACTCGAATGTGTCTGTGTTTTGTGTAAGAATGACATGCCTCATGGTAACAGGTTCGTCACTGATTACGTTGTTAAACAGATTCATTTGTCTCTGAAGACGTTTGTAACATATTTGTCTGTCACGAATGACGCATGTAACAGATTCACTGAAGACGTTGGCAGATTATTCATCCGTCACGGATGACGTTGGTAACAGAATGATTTGTCACGAACAATGTTGGTTTACAGAATAATCCGTTGTGGAGGATGTATTTACGAAATGCATCTGTCACTGATGACAGTGGTAACATATTCATCTGTCACGGATGGCATTGATTACGGACTGATTCATCTGTCACGGATGACACTGATAACTAATGCATTTGTCAACGTTGACGTTGGTAACAGATACATCTGTCACGGATGAATCTGATTACGGATTCATTTGTCACTGACCACGTTGGTTAAAGATTCATTTGTCACTAATCACGTTGGTTACAGATTCATCTGTCACGGATGACATTAGTTACAGATTTAATTTGTCACGCATGACTGATTACGGATTTATTTGACACTGATGACGTCGGTGACTGATTAATTCGTCACTGACCACGTTGGTTACAGATTCATCTGTCACGGATGACATTAGTTACAGATTTAATCTGTCACGCATGACTCTGATAACGGATTCATTTGTCACTGATGACGTTGGTAACATATTCGCCTGTAACGCTGATAACTGATTCACTATATCTAATTTCGGTTGTAACAGACTGATCCTTTGCTGATTACGCCGGTGGCTGACTGACTCAACTATATATAACGACGCTGGTCGATGTTAAACCATAGACCACATGCAGCATCTATTCGAATAATAGTGTCGTCCGCCGGTGATACTATAACGACAGCACATTCAACCATCACTGATGACGTTTTCAAAATGAGTGAGTGAGTTAAAATTTATCGTCACATCGGCAATATTTCAGACATATCGTGACGAGAACAATTAATTGGTATACATAGTACTTAATGGTAAATTGTAAAAACCTGTCTTCGAAGGACAGTAAAATAACTAGATTATCACAGAGATGAATCTAAAACTAGCAATTAAATCTAAAATAGTTTAACTATTAAGGACAATACAATATAGAAACAGGCTATAAATTGCCAACGACTGAAGGTAAATCACCATACTAGACGTTTTCAAAAGACTGAGCAGTTAAAACTGACGTTGGCACCTGACTGATCCGCTAATACTGACGTAAGCGGGAAAGGTGTGCTTCTAAAAACATCTGCCATTTCCACCAGCAGAACTGATACGGAGGAAGCAACTTACAGAGCCGTCGGAACAGCCACATTGAATCCACCAGACTGAATATAATGGGAACAAGATCCTGTTTCGAAAAAAATCCCATTATATATTTATGCAATTTTTAGAAAAGTTAAAATTGTACTTTCCCGACCAAACCACCGAGCATTTCCTTTAATTATCCATTTCACAAGCAATTGTGCACCGTGTTTGTGTGATACGATGTCAGATCCGGGGGACCCTATCTCTAAAGAGGAACTGTTTGAGGGCAGCATTATATCAGTGACGAAATGTGAAACTGTGAATGACACAAGCAACTACTGGGAACAATTCTTAACGAGCACCTGATGGTGATTTGCCCTGAGCCCTGGCAAAAAATGCATATGGATTTCATTCGTCCATATACCATTGGGTACAATCTTTCGGAATGGATTCAAAATGCCCTCAAATTATTCTTATTTCCTGGAGATTGAAACTCGAGGCTATATGGATTACATCAAGGTCACGTGACCTTTTGGCCTTATTTTTGCATCTGTGAACCATTCAAACACGTGCATTCGTGTATTTTGAAGCAATTCCCGGGTGTTTAGACCTCGTGTACGTTTACCGGTTTTCTTGTAACATCTCACAACGGGTCATGTGGGCCGATTTTGAGGAAGTGAATAAAGACTCCTACTAAAGAGGGTTTTGCACTGCCGTCAGCAATATTTATGAAAAGACTTTTAGAAGGTACTTCTATGGTTGGTCTGGCTTAAAGCTGGTACTTGAATTGGTCTGGCGTAAAGATGGTACTTGAATGGGTGGTCTGGCCTGGCTTAAAGATGGTACTTGGATGGGTGGTCTGGCCTGGCTTAAAGATGGTACTTGGATGGGTGGTCTGACTGAAAGATGGTACTTGGACATGTAGTCTGGCTTATGCACATGGTACTTGAATTGGTCTGGCTTAAATATTGTACTTGGATGGGTGGTCTGGTGGCCTGGCTTATAGATGGTACTTGGTTGGGCAGTTTGGCTTGTAGGTGGTACTTGGATGGGTGGTCTACCTTATAGATGGTATTTGGATGGGTGGTCTGGTGGCCTGGCTAAGAGATAGTACTTGGTTGGACAGTTTGGCTTGTAGGTGGTACTTGCAATTGGATGGGCGGTCTGGATTACAAATAGTGCATGGATGGGTGGTCTGGCTCATAGATAGTGCATGAATGGGCTGTCTGGATTATAGGTGATACTTGGATGGGTGGTCTGGATTAGAAGTGGTACTTGGATAGGTGAACTGGCTTGTGCATGGTGTCCTCATGACTTGTATAGCTTCATGTCGCACTTGAAAGAGTGGCCTACCTCATAGATAGTAATTGGACGAGATGGAGATAGTACAACTGGTGTCTGGCATTCTCTGTTAAGTGGTACTTGGATACGTGGCCTATGGTGGACAGTACTTGAATGGCTGATCTTGCTTATGCATGGCACCTTGATAGCTCACAGATGGTGCCTTGACCGCTATTTTTATACCAATTCCAGATGGCACTTGGAAGGATGGGCTTGTGCTTGTATGGGGATTTTGTGTTTGGAATGGCTTATTTAGATAACGTCCAACATGGCAGACCATGTCTTACCTGGGAACTGGCTTATACATAATAATTGGATTGGTGATATCAGAAGATTGTACACAGCCTTCGTTCTGGATATTATCAAACTACCATGTTGATCTCCTTTCCTTTGAATCGTTCCGACGTGTGCGATGGCAGCTCCTGCATATGTGATTGCAACGTTTGCATACTTGATAGCATAACCCTGGCATACAACGCCGACGTTATGGGATCTTCAAAGACGACAGAGGGACTTCGCCAGTATCATTGAAGTTGGGACATCAGAAAGAGGGATCGCATTCACGCGCTTGCCTTACATTCTGTCTTTCTTTGCGGTGCATCCCACAACAGATCATTTTCCCCACGTGGAGGGTCAGGTGGCCGAGATTGCTTTCATGTCCGTCCAAGATGTTGTTTGGGATCTCGAGGGACCAGGTGGTAAGGAGCGCTGCTATTTAGTATTTAGGTAAGCTACCGTGGGTGCGCTTCTATTTTCCAGACGATCCGTTTGAACCTACGTCCACTCAACCTTCTGATGTGTTCGCTACGAGTGGTTTAAAAGCAGATTTTCCGATGCCCCTATCGCTATACTTTCGTATTATGAAATCCTCTATCTATATCTGGGTTCAGCCATACTGTTGCCAGTGATCGTGTTTCAGAACCATTGCCCTACGCCGTACACGTCTCTTTCTTCGACTGAAAATAAGAGTGAATGAGCATGGTTTTACGCAGCTTTTAGCAATATTCCAGCAGTATCACGGCGGGGGACACCAGATGAAAATAAGAATTGAGGAAAGGTGGTGTTCCTTTTCAGGTAGTCTCACGCCGCCTATTACTCCTCCACCACCGTCACCATTCACCACACACACATCCCCACCCCAGACTGGGGGGGGCACAAATGTGTTACATCAGCTCCAAGCAACGCACTGTGGAGGGGTAATGAGATACGGCAGAGTTTCTCTCACATACGTGTTAACTTCATTTGCACAACGGGCCGTTGTTGCCTTGGCCCACCTGTGCCGGCGGGTGGGGCGGGCCTCCATGTGCAGCCAGAGTTACATACCCTGCCCCCCTTGGCAGGTGTTGATATGTAGGAGCTAGCAAGGAGCCACAAGCTTCGTGGCTCCTGGAGTAGTGTGAACTCGTACTAGAACTGGAAAGTTGGACCAAGAGAACACGATGAACCCCCTCACAGGAAAGACCCCGAGTGGGTAATGTTTGTTAGAATGGGTTTGCTCCCTTGAATTAGGAAATACAAAACAGCTGAG